GCTGGCTGGAAGCAGGTATCTGGGATTTATTTATCTTCTATAATTGAAACTTTCTTGCCTTGAGTGGAGGCCACAGCTGGCCAGGGCAGGAAGGAAGCTTGGCTTCCTCCATCACCAGGGAAACCAAGCCTCCTGCTTGCTCTAGCTCCATGGCTGCCAGCTGCCATCTTGGTTGGGTTAATTTGCATATAGTCACTCTGATTGGTTTGTGGCCATGGTTTGGAGCATAATGAAGGTGCGGTCAATTTGCATGTTTCTATTTTATTAGATTATATATATATTCAACCCATGCCTCTATGTTCAATTAATATTACATAAAGGGGACAAGAGCATACAATGGAGTAAAGACAGTCTGTTCAATAAATGATGTTGGGAAAATTGGATAGATATATGCAAAAAAAATGAAATTAGACCACCAACTTACACCACACACAAGAATAAACTGCAAATGGAGAAAATCCCAGAAGACATAGGCAGTAAAATCTCAAACATCTCTCATAGCAATATTTTTGTTGATATATCTTCTCTGTTGAGGGAAACAAAGGAAAAACTGAACAAATGGGACTGCATCAAACTAAGAAATTTCTTCACAGCAAACGAAACCACCAACAAAGTGAAAAGAGAACCCACTGTAGGGGAGAACATGTTCACCAATGATACACCTGATAAAGGATTAATATCAAAAATATATGAAAACATCCAACTCAACACCAGGAAGACAAACAATACCATTAAAAATGGGCAAAATAGACACTTCTCCAAAGAGGATATATAGATGGCCAATAAACATGAATAAAATGCTCAGTGTCACTGATCATCAGAGAGATGCAAATTAAAATGACAATGATATATCACCTCACACCTACCAGATGGCGACCATCAACAAATCAACAAACAACAGTGCTGGTGAGGATGTGGAGAAACGGGAAACCTAATGCACTGTTGTGGGGAATGCAGGCTGGTATAGTCACTGTGGGAAACAATATGGAGTTTCCTCAAAAAACTAAAAATGGAACTGCCATTTACCTAGTGACCCAACTTCTGGGACTACATCCTAAGAATCCTGAAACACCCATCAGAAAGAATATATGCACCCTGTGTTCATAGCAGCACAATTTACAATAGCTGAGATCTGGACACAGCCCCAATGTCCATTGGTAGATGAATGGATCAAACAATTGTGGTACTGCTACACAATGGCATATTACGCAGCTTTAAAAAGGAAGGAACCCTTAATGTTTGTAATAGTAAGGATGGTCCTGGAGGTTATGCTAAGCAAAATAAGACCCCGAATACCTACAACTATTCCGGATTAGAGAAAGACAAATACCATATGATCTTACATATATGTGGAATCTAGCATAATAAACTGGTGAACAAGAGAGAACCAGAGGCATGGATATATGGGACAAACTGACAGATGTCAGAGGGGAGGAAAAGAGGGAAGGGGGAGACAGGATGAAAGAAGGTGAAGAGAATAGCCAACGAGCATATATGCATACCCCAGGGACAGGACAGTGATGTGGTTACAGCCAGAGGGAGAGGAGGGTGGAATCTGGGGAGAGGAGAGCAACAGGGAGTAAAAGGAGGGGACATCTGTAATGTCAACAATTAGAAAAAGAAGATTAAAAATTAAATAGCAAAGAATACATAGGACTGAAATGCAAAACAGTAAAATGGGATGTAAATTAATATGCAACTTATTTCTGGCTTAATTTATAATCAGCAAGACAAGTAAATGGCATCAGGGTCTACACGTCTAGGGTCATCATCCAGGAGCCCCAAGAAAGAATGGTGCCATAGAACCAAGATGATGGCGCAGGTAGATGCCAGTACTCACCCACAACCACATCAAAGTACAACTAAAACACAGAACAACCATCACTCAGAACCACCGGAGAGCTAGCTGAATGGAAATTCTACAACTAGAGAAGTAAGAATAAACCACACTGAGGCTGGTAGGAGGGAAGAGGCACAGAATGGACTGGTCCAACATCCACATGTGACATTTTTTTAATAGAAAGGGCATCCCGTGAGGAACAAGAGATCCCAGCCCCATACCAGTCCCCCAGCCCAGGGTTCTGGTGTTGGGAAGAGAAGACCCTGTAACTTCAGGCTATAAAAACCAGCGGGGATTGTGGCTGAGTGACATGGAGGCTGCCGGATTCCCAGGTGTTCCTCTTAAAGGGCCAGCACATGAACTTACAAGGTCCTGCCTCCTCTAACCTCCAGTGCCAGGTGGCAGCTTTGGGGGAATCCAGGGACATACAAGGAGGAACTGGATGGTCTGCCATCAGGGCAGGAACTTGGGGCAGCTGTGTCCCAGAGAGGGGTGCTCACAAGGGTCATTGTTCCTGTGCCAGTATCTCCCCCATTGCAGAACTGACTAGCAGCCATATCTGAGTCTCCATCAGCATGATCCACACTGCTCTGATCCACCCTGGTGATTCCCTGAGACCCTGCCCCATCCAACTTGCAGCCCCACCTACTGTTTGCAGCTGCTTTTCCATATGAATGGCCTGTCCTGGCTCAGGCTTCAGACTTTGATTAAATCTCTTAAACAAGTAACAAATGGAGTCAGCGTGCCCCAAGCCTATCGATAAGAGGCACAAGACCCAGCACTAGCACCAGCCTATCTTGTTCACAGCTGGGCCTTGTCTGGACATTCTGTAGCCCAATACAAGTAGCAGCCATCTGCAGATCTCTCTGTAGCTCCAGTCCAGTGGCCCCAGGCAGTGGCTGACTTTGCACCTCCCAAGAGGCCCCAAAGCCAATGCACCTGGTGGACAACTTCAGACCACACCAGATTACAACTCTACACATCCACAGGGACACACTTAATCCCCACTAAAGCAGGTTCTGCTCCATAGGGGCAACTCCTGCACAACAGCTCTTCACTGTCATCGCAGCTGGTCCTCAGAGCCAATTGGCCTGGAGGTCAACTCCTCCCAGTGATGCCAACAGCAATGAAGGCTCAACTACAACAAGACTGTGCACACAGCCCACACAGGGGTGCACCTAGAGTGCCCAGCTCAGGTACTAGGGAGGCTAAGCCACTGGGCCCTACAGGACACCTACTACACAAGGCTACTTTGCCAATTCCAGAAGAGAGCAGAAGGAGGAGAAGGAGAAGGAAAGAAGGAGAACGAGGTGAAGGAGAAGGAGAAGGAGAAAAAGATAAAAAAAAATATGATGATAAAATGGCAATAAATGCATATCTATCAAAAATTGAATCTAAAAATCAAAATAAATGAAAAAATCTAGTGAATAAAATAAAACTGATGAATAAAATAAAATTAGCCCTAGCTGGTTTGGTTCAATGGGTGGAGCATTGGCCTGTGGACTGAAGGGTCCCAGGTTTGATTCCGGCCAAGGGCACATGCCCGGATTGTGGGCTCAATCCCTAGTCAGGGGCGTGAAGGAGGCAACCGATCACTGATTCTCTCTCATCATTGATGTTTCTATCTTTCTCTCTCTTTTTCCCTTCCTCTCTGAAATCAATAAAACTACATTTGGGGGTAAAAAATAGAATTAGATGCATGCAAACATGGAACAGACTGACAAATCTCAGAGGGAAGGGTTGGGGGGAGGGATAGGAAGGGATTAGCCAAAGATTATATACGTATATATGCATTACCTATGGACACAGACAATAGGGTGGTAAGGCCTGGGGTGGGGTGGGAACCAGGTGGAGGGGCAGTGGGGGGAAAAGAGGAACATCTGTAATACTCTCAACAATAAAGATTTTTTAAAAATTAAAACAAAAATGAAGAATGGTGCTGCACAGACCTTGTTTTGGAACTCCTCCAAGGCCAGCTTGTAATGCTGCATGATCGCACCGAACGACTTGCAGCTTTTGGAGGCAAAAAGCAGCATGTGATTCTGGATGTGCAGCTCATAAATCAGATCCTTACTCTGGAACGCAAGGACATGGGTCATGCCCTGCCCACAGCTGCCCAGCTGCCCTCTCCTCTCCGGGGAGCTCCGCTCACTGACCTCAGAGTTGTACTCAATGACGAAGCCTGTGAGGTGCTGTCGTATGACTTGATTGAGGACAAGCTTGTTGGTGCTGTCATTAATAAGCTCCTGGCGGCTCTCAATTCTCCCCTGGAACAAAAGGAAGCATTGGTGGTGGCAGCTCCCATGACATAGGCTCTTAACCTCCAGAGTGCCGGGGAGCGCCATCGCACTCCTCCTGTCTTTCCCCAAAAGTGCCGGGAGCGCGATCGCGCTCCTCCTTCAGTGTCACTATTAGATGCTAGTAGTTCACTATTGACAGATGGCACCTAAGTGCAGATTACTTATGATGCTGAATGTTTGTAGTTCTAAAATTGTCCACTGGCATTTATCTGCCTAATTTTCATAATTTTTTTCCTAAACTACTGTAAAATCAGCAAATATGCCTTGGCAAGTTTAGCATATTTCCTAGGATATTGGTTGGCATTCAAAGGGTTAATAAACAAAAGGAAGCCCCTGGTAGCAATGTATCCAATAATCCAGGCACGTCAGACTAAGGGGAGCGGGGCGATTGGCCTGGGGGCCATGTGTATGTGGCAGCATGAAAATCTCTGAGCCACAAAGGCAAGGAGTATAGTTGACTGACACCCCAGCTGCCTTGCTCTGAAGTCCAACAGTGTCTCAGGCTGTGCTGAGCGGCTCCTGACCAATGACTGAATGTGTCAGGGGTATGAGGGCAAACCCATTTCTGAGACATGCAAGATACTCTGCTAAGGGTCTTTGATAATTTTTCTAAGAACTCCACTGCAGTCAGGGACTCCTCCTCCCTTCCCTCTTCCCTCCTTCCTCCCTCCTTCCCTCCTTCCCTTCCTTCCTTCTCTCCTTCCTTCTGTCCTCTTTTCCTCCCTTCCCCCTTCTCCGTTCCCTCCTTCCTTCCTTCCTTCCTCCTTTCCTTCCTTCCTTCTGTCCTTTTTTCTTCCCTTCCCCCTTTCCTTCCTCCCTCCCTCCCTCCCTCCCTCTCTTCTCTCTCTTCCTTCCTTCCTTCCTTCTCTCCTTCCTTCCTTCCTTCCTTCCTTCCTTCCTTCCTTCCTTCCTTTCTTCCTTCGGGTCAGGCCTCCATCAAGTCTTAAGGGTCTCTGTGTTGTCCCTAATCTATGCCTGTTTATCTTGCTTGACAACTTCTTCTCAGAAGGACCTGGGTCAGTGGAGGGATACTATAATTCTCTGTAGCCCAGGATCAAAGTCTGGGTGTGGGGAAGGAGAAAGAATCAGTCATCTCCTAATGTCTCTTTTTAAATCTCCTTCTCTTCTCTCCACCAATCCCACCCTCTAGTCCATACCTGTTTCCTGGACTCCTGAAAAAATTCCTAATGGTCTTCTAATGTCTCCCCTCGCTGCCCTCCAGTCCACCCCCACATTTCAGCCACAGTGAGTTGTTAGGATGCAAGTCTGATCATGTCATTCTTTTGCTTAAACACTTCATAGACCCTGTTGTCCTCTAGATAAAGTCCAGTCTTTTCTGGTCCTAAACCTATTCTAATAGTGCGAACTAGGCTTACTGAGATCTCATGTCGCACCAGCCACCACTCTGAACATGTTAGATGTCCTAACTCATTCAGCCCTCAGAACACCTCCTTGATCTGTATACTGTGATTCCTCCTGCTTCACCATGAGGAAATCGAGGTACAGAACAGTGAAGTGACTTGCCTAAGGTCTCTAAGCTGGGAGAGGGGGGCTCAGTCCAATGCATGCAGTCTGACGCCAGGGCCCATGCCCTTAACCATTCAATAGGACAAATCTCTCCCAAATGCATTTTCCAAGTTGGCTCCTTGGCTTTGGTTTTGTCATGGGGTTTTACTGCAGACCTGTTACATTTTTATGTGGTCCAAATGTATCAGTATTTATTTTCCTTGTTTCTGGAGTTTCTGCAATGCTTTATAAAGAACTTTCCCACAAAGCAAACTCCCCCGTGGTATCTCATAGTCTCATTGTTATATTTTTAAATCAGGGATCAACCTGAAATTTAGTTTGGTGAAAGGAGTGATATATGAACTTAGCTTTAGGGTTTTGCTTTCAATGGCTATCCAATTCTCTCAATACTTGTCATTGAATAACATATATTTCTCTATTAATCTAAGATATCATATAGTAAACCCCCATATGTATTTGGATCTATTTCTGGACAGTGTTGTCCCATTCAAGAAAAACAAATCAAGTTATTTTATTCTCTGAATTAAAGCTTTTCAGTGATTTCCATGGGCTCATATTCTTCTCTAAAAGTCAATCAGATCTGGGTATGACTCTACCTACCCCCTGTGTGGCCTTGGGCAAGTAACTTAACCTCTCTGGGCCACATCTATAAGTAACATGGTTATTGTAAGGATTTGGCTTTGTGTGGGGAGGGAGTAAGGCATGTTCCAGGAATCGGACCACATGGAACTTTCTGTGAAGACCGAAATGCTCTGTGACTCTAGCTGCCCAATGAAGTAACCACTATCCACATGACGCTAGTTGGATTGAGGAACTAACATTTTAATGTAAATAGTCACAAATGGCCAGCAGCTGCCATGCTGGAGAGCTCAGATCTAGATCCCAGAGGGGATGGAGGAGTGTGTAATAGGCCTCATTAAGGACTTGAGTCTTTATCCTATACTAATAGGATTAATAATAGGAAACCACTAATGGGCTTTCAGGGAGGAGGAGGGAATGATCAATAGATTTGAATTTTTGAAAGGCTGCTCATCAGAGGACAAAAGAGAATGTGGCAGATCAGTTGGATGGATGTTGCATTGGGCTGTGGAAAATAATGGTCACTTCATCTAGAAAGGAAGCAGTAGAGAAAAATGGATAGATGTGAGGGATCTTTGGATTTAAATCAATAGGGTTGGAGTGATGAGTTGGTTATGAGGGATGGAGAAGAGGGAGGTGTAGAATGATGCCTGGCTGTCTGGCTTTGCTCAGACGAGTAATGGGAGAGATGGTGGTACCATTCGAGAGAGAAAAATACCTTGGATGAGGATTCATAGGGGAGATTAAGACTGGCCATGTTGAGACATCTGGTGATGGATGCAAAGGTCTGGAGAAAAGAGGCATCTGGCTGGAGTATGGAGGCTTGTAAGCCACTGGGTGTCTGGATAGTAACTGCTGACAGAGGTGGATGAGGGTGGGTGGAGCAGAAGAAAGCACAAGGCAAAAGACTGGGATTTAATAACACTTACTTGTTGAAGAAAAGAGGATGAGCTTATAGGGGGAGGGCTACAAAGGCCAGAAAAACATCAGAAAACTAATTTTGCAAAAGCCAACTAGTCCAATGGCACTTAGCTCATAAGTGGCAGAACCAGAATTGGTACCCAAAACCCATACATACATGTGCTGTCCCCTATTTTGAACTAGAGACCCTTCTGTAGCAATGGCTCAAAGACCTACCTTTTTGAACACCAGAACACTGTCAAGGGTGACACGAAAACGCCCGATGGCATTACTAATCAACATCACTCCAAACGTCAGCTCTGGGAAGTCTTTGATCACATCATAGAACAACTCGGCTACTTCTTCTTCTAAATCCTGTTTGGGGAAGGACATATGGTAAGGTTTTGGTAGAAATGCAAGATGCTGTTCATCTAAGGTCAAGGTGGAAGTGGTGACCAATTTGTCTCCTTACCTTTCCAACTTTTGAGGTTTTGCTGAGTCACCTCAATCCCATTTTATGGATGTTTCATACCCAGAATACTTTTATGGCCATGACTAAGGCCAAAATAGGCAAATCACAGAGATGGGTGGAGAGAGCTGATCACATAGACCTTCCCCACGTATTAGAGGGGTTGGGACTTGGTAACCTATATTCCTTAGTTGCTTTCAGAAGAGGCCATTGATTGGCCACATGTAGTATCAAATATAAATTTGGTATCAAGATATGGCTGTAGCTTCAGCTTCATTTTTTAGCTTAAAAAAAATTGAGGCCATAAAACACTGTCAAAAAGTGGGATGGGCAAGAGAGGTAGCTCTCCCAGGGGTAGACTCAATGCCAGGGTTGCCTTCACTGGCAAAAGGGGAGGAAAATGAGTGAAGATGTAAGGAAACCCATTCTCCAAATGGGGAAACAATTTGCAAATTAGTGGTTATTCGATGCTATTTTAACAGACCCCCAAATGATCAATTATGCCATCAAACCACCTCAGTCTCCTCTCTCCACCCTGCCCACCTCTCTCATCAGCTTCCCCTACCCCATTCAGCTTTTTTTTTCTCTCTTCATCTTAACTCTGAAGTTCCCCCAGAAAACCAGCTTATTGGAAAATGAAGAATAAGAATTAACTCAAGGAATTAACCTCTCCTCTCCCCGACCCCCTCCCAGGCACAGGACTCCACAGGCCCATTGAAAAGCCACCCCATCTCTTGAACTCAGTACCTGGAAGAAGCCAATGATCACCAAGGGCCTGGCTTTCACAAACTCTGTCACCTGGTGGATGTCAGTGAACAGAAACGCTTTCTCGCTAATTTGTCTTCTCAACCAAACGACCAGGGCAGCAGACTCAACCACTCCTGGAGAGAAACAGTTAAGTGGGTCCCACAGGTTCCCTGGAACTGTGTAGCAAGTCTGTCTTTCCCAAGTTGAAGGTGTAGAAGCTTCTTATCTTGGGCTCCCACCCCCGAAGGCCAAGGTCAGCTTTCCTGCTCCTCCCCACCTCCCTCACACACCCCCTGCCTCCCCACAAGCCTCAAGGCATGAACAGTAACCAGCAGGTAAACTTGACTGAGCACTTACCAAGGACCTAAGGTTTCTCATACATCACATCCAACAGCAGCCCTGCCCTGAGGGACAGATAGGGTTACTCTCCCCTTTTCTGCAGACGAGGAAATTGACATTGAACTTGGCCACCCCACTAGTGAACCTGGGGATCACACTGAGGAGTAAGCAAGCCCAGCCTTCTTTTCTTATTAACCCTCCAAAGTGACCATAAAATAGATTCTCTAAATATACATAAATAAATTATAAACCAGAAGACCAGCTGGCCCGTGACCTTGGGAAAATTCTATCATATCCGTGTGTCTGCAATTGCTCAGCCGAGACACAAATGTTATAGATCCTGACTTCCATTCTCAGCTGTTGTGTGGCTGGTGGAAAGCACAGAAGAATCCTCGCTTCTAAAATTGAGAGACATATACCATGTCTGGGAAGACGTGCTGGCTTGCCAGAATGTTCACACACTACAGATGGACATGTGTTGCTGGGATCGTCAATTTCACATGATGGCAGATAATGAAAAATAAGTTATACAAAGCCTGCTACAGAGCAGCATTGTAAATGAGTTTATCAGATAAAGCAATGTTTGTCATGAGTAGCTGTGGGCTACATCTATAGGGCTTCATTCATTCATTCACTCATTAACCTGTCACTCTTCAATCATTTGATAAACACGCATTGAGTGCTATTAGTTATTAAGCGCTGTGTTTGCTCCTGGGGATGTACCGAAGTGGTGAGCAGAAAGACACATGACCGGTTCCCTGCAGCTCTCCTTCTGTTAAGGAAGATGATAATGACACAAACAAGTGTAGAAGCACAACCAAATAAACATTGAAAGCAGGGTTCAATGAGCCAGTAGCAAAGCTGCATGACCTGATGGTGACATCAGGGAGGGCTTCCTGGAGGAAGTTGCTTAAGAGCTGAAAACTGAAGGATGCACAGGAGTTACACAGGAGGCTGCCAGGAGAGGGGAAAGCTTACAGGCAGAGCAAACGGCCTGTGCACAGGCCCTGCACCAGTACATACTGCCCATGGGGCTTGATGAATGCACACTGAGCTGGTAGATCAACTGGAAAGGACTATTTTCAGTGTCTTTGCCTATAATTCCTAAGAACATTGGGTCTTTAAAAACACTTGTCATGAAGTATATTTATCTGCAGAAAGGTGAACAGATTACAACGAATGGTTTGATGAATTGTCACAAAATGAACACATCTGAGTCACTACCACCCAGATCAAGAAATGGAGCACCCCCAGTCGCTCAGAAGTCCCGGTGCCCCTCCCACCTCCCGGCCCCTCCCCGCCCCCGCCTGCAGGTAGCTTCCACCCTCACTCTGGGGCTGCATTAGTGTGCCTGCTCTGTAAGCCGCAGAGTGTGCTTCGAGGCCTGGCTTCCTCATGTCTGGGAGAGTCATCCGTGTTGCCTGTACGTGTAGACCCGTCCACACAGCTGCTCAGCCTTCGATCGTGTGACCGTTCATCCCACAGCTTAGGGGTCCACTCTGTTGGTGTGACTGGGTCGTTTCCAGTCTGGGTTCCGCATTCCTGGTGATACGCGTCCGGAGGCAGAATGTCCGGCCAGAGCTTAGACGTTCGGAACGCTAACTGCTCAGCAGCTCGTTCCATGCCTGGACACAGACGAGGCCCTTCTAAACGCCACCGGATCCAGCCCAGGGAACGCCATGGAAGGGCGTGGAGGTCGCAAGGGGCAGAGAGGGGGAGGGGCGAGCAGCCTTTCTGACCCCCTCAGACCAAGAGGCTCCACCCACGGCAGGCACCCGCCTCCCGGATTCAGACCCAAGGGTGAGGTCTAATTTGACGGTGCTCCAAGCCGTTTTTCAGGGGGAGAAAGGGTACTTATCATTGAAACAGTCTTTCTCTTATCGGCTTTTACCTGAAAACACTACCCTGCAAAGGTCCTGAAAGGAATGGATTTAAAACAAAAAAATGAACAAAACCCTCTGACTGTGTCTCACTGTCGGGGCCTCAGATCGGCAGCTCTGACGGACTCTGCCCGCCTTCCTGCCACCTGACCTCAGCCCAGCCCCAGCACCCAGGCTTGGCACTGCCAGCGCCTCCAGCTGCCCCCTTTGCTGTGAGGGCACCTGCACCTGCTCACTCAGCTCTCAGAGGCCTTTCCTTACACTCCCTCCGCAGCTGTCCCTGTTTGATGACCTGCTGTATTTTCTTCATGGAGCCCATCTTCCCGCATGTTGACGTTGGCTAACCCACTCAGCAGCTCCTTCCATGCCTGGCTCCAGCTGGTGAGTGAGTTTGGTGAAGAATCACGAGATAAGCTGGCTCTAGGGAATGGGCCATCTCTAGGGCAGTGATGGCGAACCTTTTGAGCTCGGCGTGTCAGCATTTTGAAAAACCCTATCTTAACTCTGGTGCCGTGTCACATATAGAAACTTTTTGATATTTGCAACCATAGTAAAACAAAGACTTATAGTTTTGATATTTATTTTATATATTTTTAAATGCTATTTAACAAAGAAAAATCAACCAAAAAAATGAATTTGCGTGTCATAGGTTCGCCATCACTGCTCTGTGTGATTCGTGAACTCCTTTTGCCCCTCTAGACCCCATGGGACTGAGGTAGCTCTGAACTTGGCAATAGTTCCACCCTGAGTGCCTGCCAATTAGGCCCTAGGGTCTGAGGAGAGGACACAGCACCGCCCAGGTGGGGATGCCCAGAGGCACCTGCGTCCCCTCCCTCCGAGACAGCCAAGGCCAAGTCTTGGGGAGCTGGACCTGTGGTCTGGGGCTCTGCCCCAACAAGACTAAGCCCGCCTGCCTCCCCGATTTTCACACAAGTCACACTGTTGCCCTTATCTGCTCAGGCAGCCTGTCAGTCGGCAGA